TTCCATATTCTGTGAAATCAGCAGCAGGGCTGCCGGGAGTAGAATGCCATACTGATAGTCTGAGTCACTGCTGCACTTTTCATGCCTTTGGATTTCTCCTAATAAAAGCAAAAGTAATAAAAAATGAACACAAAAGCTGCTCCAACCACCTTCTGTGAATATCAATGGACTGGTAAAAATGATTAATATTCAGAATACACCTTTTCTGTGCATGTTGCATTTGGTTTGACAACACATTTAAATACAGATTTCTGTGCTGAATACTCCAAAAGGGATTCATGACTTATCAGACAGAGCTAAGAACACTCCCCTGTGTTATAAAACAAGGGGCATTTCCCCCTCTTTCGCCATCACTATGGGTGGCTCTGCAAGTTTAAACGTAATTCCTTTGCATCTTGTTAGCAATGACTTCTAACTTGGGCTTCAGGAACTCACCTAATTCAACCAAATGCAAGTAATTTGCCAGAGCCTAGCTGATGACCCATCATTCTTTTTTCCCTTTTTAGGCATACATTCTCCTCCTCCTGTCTGGAACATGACTTTTCTAAGTGCCAAACCATTGTACCAGGCCTGAAAAGCCATCTAGTCCAATGCCTTTCCATAGGTTACCACTATCCATTAATTAACCCCTCCCAGTTCAATGCAGACCAATTAATCTAGTATGTGCCACAAACCCAGTTCTGGGGCTACACAGTGAGTTGTTTGCAAAGCAAATAAATTCCAAATGATTCAAGAAAGGGAAGACAAGACCACATACTACAGGGAAAAGCAAGGCCTACACATTCTTTCCTTTCTGCTGGGTCATTCCTTTGGGAAGGGACCATCACTCAGTGGGAGGAAGCATGAACTCCATGCAAAAAGTTACAGAGTTGGGGAAAGCACTTTGGAGAATGGCTGCCAGTCCAAACAGATTTTACAAAGCTAGAGGGGTCAAATAGCCTCAGTTACTCAGACTTTTATATCAGCCCTGGGTCCCAGTTGCCTGGGAAGAAAGTAGGTAGGTAGGTAGGTAGGAAGGAAGGAAGGGAGTCATTTCCCAAGATGAGAGGTACAGTCCTTCCCATCTCCAAATATGGTGATTGTTCAGTCCAAGAATGTTATTTAATGATAACCAGTGAGTCTGCTATTGGCCTATACAGTACAATATTGCCTCCTTGGCAGACAGCACCTGAGAGAGAACTTTTCCTACAGCAGGTGCCTAAGATGCTTTAAACTGGATATGCCAAGGACTAAAACTGGGACCTTCTGAGACCCTTTTTGCTTTCCCTGTCTCAAATCTGTTCCAATGTTTTTGAACAGTATTTTCTAGCCTCTCTTCCACCCCAAATACTGCCACCATCATTTTACTGGACACATATCCATACCACCCAACATTTTGGGACTCAAGATCAGAAGGGAGATGCCAACTGGGCCAATGTTGAAACACCAGGATAAAAAAAAAATTAAGATAACTTTCATAAAATTACTCAGTTCTGTTTCAAAATACTTAATTCTCTGTGTCCCCATATTGAGGCTGAAATGGCAGTAATCACAGTTGCTGCCATATGAGAAGGCTGTGATACTGAGAAAAACACTATGCAATACTCTGAAGTAAGAAGTGTAAAACATATGTTTGGAGGATATAATGACACGGCTGTACATGACTTTTCATCTTTCTAACACTCCTGTATTTTGATATATGTGCAGCCAAAATCTTCAGCTGCAATGATGACCCCGATGTAACAGGCATGGTTGATGTGGGGGACATGCACCCCAGTTTGGCTTTGGAGAAACAAACAACTCTTCAGCTTTGATCTGTACTGATTCTTTGTTCTGCCAAATCATCATGGGCTGTCGATGCTTCTTTTTTGGCCCTGACTTTGATAGCCCAGGCAAGCCTGGTCTTGTCAGATCTTGGAAACTAAGCAGGGTCGACTCTGGCAAGTACTTGGGATGGGAGACTTCCTCAGAATACTAGGAGGCAGGGGCAGGCTCCATTCAGCCACCTCTCTGAACATCCCCCAAGCCCCCAGTAGGGGTCAGTTAGCAGAGGTCGCCATGACTTCCAGGTGCACACACAGTCAGTCACCAGAGATCAACATGGTGTACACACACATGAAAAATACCAAAAACAAAATAGCTTATTTTTGGAGCTCCTCTCTTTCTGTACAAAGGAAACTGCTTACCCACATATTTCTCCTATTTGCATTGGTAATTAGTGACTATAATTGGACACACACTTACATACACAGACACAGACACACACAATGCTCCCCAAAATAGCATTATAATAATGGCAAGTAAGACACGTACAAGAGCTCAGGAGTTCCCTTGAGAGAGAACAAATCCACCATTAAGGGAATATGTGTGTCTGAAGTAAACATCACGTGGAGCTTCCTGTTTTCACATTATGTATTTGTTTATCATATACATTTGCATGTTGCTAACTTGCCATCTCAAAAATCCACCTCTACAGTTCAAAAATGATTGCACATGCCCTTTTAGGTGTGGCAGTTGGGATATTTGAATTCTGCTCCTGAGGAATGAAGCTTTCAGAATCTTCCACCAGTCAGTTCTGACTCCAAACCATATGAAAGAATGAAGACTATATAGTTATACATCTGTGTGTCTATGGCCTTTTCAAACTACTGACTTCTACAGCTTCCTTTAGAAAACTCAGAAATGGAATAAGAAACCAGCAGAACTCCAATAGAAGGGGGGGGGGACACACATTACAATCTGTCTTTTAAGAAAATGTTTCTTTTAAAATAACCCTTTGCACTGCATGATGCAAATTATTGTTACTAATAATCATCACTCATGCCAGACATCACATCACCAACTGGAAGGTGGTCAGATGTATTGTGCAGACCAGGCCTTATTTTCCCAGGGCTTTACAAATGTATCCAAAACACAGCTGCAGTTTTGCAAAGACATGAGTCAACAAGGTGAGAGCATGGATAATAAACCCTCTTGGCTGGTGTTAGGGTGTATCTTAGAAAGGGTCAAACATCAGTTGGGGATACTTTAAGTTTGGGAGATTCTATTTTAAAATAGGGGATGTAACCGCTACATCACCCGTTAGATGTCTTCTGACTATATGATTCTGAATGATGGCTGCCTTTTCCAGACATGTTTTGGAAGAATGGGCTGTTGCACCCATCCTTTAAATTGTTAGTATGAGTCACAGTTTGACAGGTGGCTAAGTTACCAAGCTCTAAGTAACAGACAGTCTAATTAAATTTTTTGCTGAGGGGCAATTAATTAATTTACATTAACTCTTTAACATTTCCTACTGCAGGAAAGTACTACTGCTTTCTCAAAACACTAATCCCTTTGTATTTACATCAGGGTGTTTTAGAAAAGTGCTAATCTAAATTTCTGAATTTAGATGAGTAATGGCACTGGTATACTTAAATAAGGAGCTGCGGTGGCTCAAGTGGTTAAGATGCTGAACGGCAGGCTGTGGAAGGTCGGTAGTTCAGCAGTTCGAGACCCGAGTTGCTGCATGACGGAGTGAGCTCCCGTCTCTAGTTCCAGCTCCTGACAACATAGCAGTTCGAAAGCAAGACATTGCAAGTAGATAAATAGGTACCACTTCAATGGGAAGGTAACAGCATTCCGTGCGCCTTGGTGTTTAGTCATGCTGGTCACATGACCACGGAAATGTCTTTGGACAGCGCTGGCTCCTCAGCTTTGAAACGGAGATGAGCACCACAACCCTAGAGTCGGATTCGACTGGCTTTCGAGCAAGGGAACCTTTACCTTTATACTTAAATAAACAGTAAAATTAAATATAAAAGGAAAGGCCAGCTTGACACACAACTGGGAAGGAAGGGGATGGTGGATATATGAATGTATAGAAGCAACACATGAACCTACCTCTGATGCCATGACACCAAAGCCAATAAATATGAAAATCCTGAGGTCCACACAATGAAACTAACGATTCCCGAGCCATCGCATACAGCTCACTGGTATGCTGAAGGACTAAGTGTTCAGCTGTCCCGTTGCCTCTACAGTTGTGAATCCCATAACAATTCAACATGAAACCCTTGTTGCATACTCCACTCTTCTGTTTCCATCCTCCTATGAATAGAAAATTCATTTTCCTTCTTTTGTCATTTCCCATTACACATTCCATGTGTAGTTGACCCAGACAGTAAAGCAAAGCATATCATTTCTGTCTCCCACTGAACCTTTGATTTCCATGGAGGTGATGGATTTATCATTTGCCAGTCCCACTTTCTTGTTTTCCTGCTACGGACAAGCAGTGAGTGACTCCACAGTTAAGTTGACGACATACAGACACACACGCACACACTCGCGGGAATGCCTTTTTTCTTTTTTCCATGAGGATTTTTTTTCCTTTTTGCAAAAAAATGCAAGCAAAAGAAAAAAAGAAGGTTTTCTATTGAAGGTACATCTCCTCTTCAATATGAAGACATTAACTGCATTGTTCTGGATCCCCCATGCAGTGGTCAGTGAAGTCCTTTGGTAACTGATGGAACATCTTTATATAGTAGTAGGTAGCTGTAGCTGTTAAAGAAAATTCCCCATGGGTTATGAACACAAAAGGGAAGTGGTGTGTGAGAAGGGCTCTGGAAGGAGAACTAAAGAAGAGAAGGAACATGATCACTGAAAATGGTTGCTCTGGGTTGCACCTCTGTTCTCCCCACTGGACTCTTTGACTACTGCTCACTGGTGGTGGGATTTAAGTCTCTTTTCTCCCAGCACACATTGGTTTGTCTTCAGTTTTTTAAATATATGATTTATACATATTTATACCTATTTATACACAGGTTCCCATGGCATCAGTAAGTGTGCTTCTGTTGGTGAGAAACGGAAGTTGCCACTTAAAAACAAGTCCCTCATATATTTTGTCTGTGGCTCCAAAAGTTCCCAGACAATAATCCAACCTTTGCAAACATCTCACTGTCTTGTCAGCTTACCCTCCCCTCCCACTTCCAACCCTCTGTTCAACTGTCTTTTCCCACATTGCTGAAGAAAGACACAGAGTGTCATGCCATTGAAGTCGGTGACTGGCTCATCTGCACCCTCATAGACTGCACACTGTTCAGGATCTTCTTCTGGTGTCCAGCCAAGGTAACCCCTATTCTTAGAAGATCTCTGCAAAAGAGAAAAGACAGGATCATGAGTGCTACAACGAAGTTTATCCTGAACACCCACTTTGGTTATTTAGTCATGTGATGGCAAATTAAAATGTTGCAGCAGAAACTGCAGGCTGTTAACCCAAGAAGAGCAATCAGAATTGCTAAAAGATGTGGAGTGAATGTGTTTATGCATATGGTCCAAAAACCACAGCAAATATACACTTGAATACAAAAGGACTAGGAAGCCTCTTTTCTTTTTCTTGAAGTGACTAACACTGCGGTTTTCTTGAGAAGATACTTTACCCTGTCTGCTGTTGCAACAGCAGATATTTGAGTAAATCTTAAGGAGAAAATTCCCAGTGAAATAACCTGAATGATCAACCATAAACCCATGGCTAGGCTACTACATTCAAGATTGGGCCACTATTTGATTCTCTCATGGGAGACATTCCACAATATTTGGATTTAGTAAAGCTTACTAGTTATATTGAGGACTTATGGTAACAGTGGGTGAATATTGTGAAATAGAGGGGGCTAGCCAAACAGGCTTTCAGGGTGCATGAGTTTGACAACGGTGGGCTGTGCACAAGGAACATGTGGAAGTTTTGGGGTACCGTTGAATTCTGGGAGCAAGTGGACCTATCATGTTTTGTGGATGTTAGTGGAGACTCAGAAGTTGTTGATGGTGATGAGAGACAAGTTTATCAAACTGGCAATGGTTCTTGTAATCATCGGAATTGCTTATATGCATGGTATTTGAAGTCTGCGCATTGTGGGATGCAGAGTGTTGAAAAGTTGTTAAAGGAGTGTGGAATTTCTGTTTGTAAGTTGTGACAAGGCAAAAGAGAGATGCGACACATGTCTCAAAGCAAAGGGAACTGCTCTAAAGTACACTGGCAAGTCCACTGCTCACAATGAGAACTTCCTAGAGACTGTGTACAGTGACCTTTTTTCCAACATCAAGAAGGGTGGAGGCAAAATGGCTTGGGGAGTAGGGACATTTTGTGTTACAAGCATATTGGAGATATGAACTACCTCCCTTTCTTACATGTTCCTAGTACTAAAGTTCTACTTTGTCCCAAAATTAAACAAGTGACTTCCTGAGAGTTTACAAAAAGTCCAGTTCCCTCTCCTCCCAACACTAAAGCCAATACCAGCCTATCAGCTGAGACTGAGGTCAGAATGAGAATGCACTACTTACTCTGATGTCATTTGCGCAACTAATTGAAGAGATGTGAATCCAGCGGTCAGAAAATTGTCTCTGTACTGGTTCATTTTGATGGCACTGAGCCAATCTTCTACTGAGGTAAAGGCAGTGAAATCTGGGATGGAGCGATCTAACAGTGGCTGAGAAGGCCTAGAGTATGATGTAAACACAGAGTCAGGGAGGAGAACCTGCTAGCTGTGAACCAAGATTAGAAAAAGAAAGGAAATACAAACAAAACAAGGGTAAATTGGCAGTGCAGTTACTCCAGTCTAAGCCCACTTAAATCAGTGACCTTGGACTGGAGTAACTGTGCACTGCTCATCTCTTCTCACTAACCCACCTGATTGTGTGGCTAGCTTAACTCCAGCAGAGCTTCCTTCAACCTCCCTTCCTCTCCCATTAACACTGGTAGACCAATCACACTCTAAAATTTCCTTGCCCTCTTCACTGATTCAAAACACTCAGTTATCAGGCTTACATGCTGCTGCTTCTGGAACGTATCATTTCAGATAGCCAGGTGAGGACTTTTACCACATGTGGGGGAGGGACCTCCCCCCAAAATTCAAAATAAGAGCTAGAGTGATATTCTCAACAGGCTTGTTGGGATGTGCATGGAGACTTTAGATATTGGGGAGTTGGTATCTTTAAATACCAGGGAGATACATGGGTTGTGGCATGAATGATATAAATCAGGGCGTCCCTGTTAGGCTCCAAATTGGGGACGAAGAGAATCTTTTTCATGCCCCACAATTCACAGTGGACACCAAGCCTTTGGATGTTCCAGCAAATGTGCAGTTATACGGTATCATGAAGGTGAGTCTGGAAGAATTCAAGACATCTATGTAGGCTACAGCCAAAGTAGCGCAGATGGATGTTCCCACTGAGAAGTCATCTGCTGAGTATACGTGGCAGGGGGTATCATTGCTGAGCATGGAGGCTGTAATGAATTTGCAGTACCACACAATAAAATTGGAATTGGAGTTCCTGTACCCAGGAGAACATAAGGGCCCTGCTGGATCACGTGGTCCATCTGGTTCAAAATCCTATCTGAGAGCCAGTTTGGTGTAGTGGTTAAGTGTGCGGATTCTAATCTGGGAGAACCGGGTTTGATTCCCCACTCCTCCACTTGCACCTGCTGATGTGACTTTGGGTCAGTCACAAGCTCTGGCACAGCTATTCCTGAAAGAGCAGTTTGTGTCAGAGTTCTCTCAGCCCCACTCACCTCACAGGGTGTCTGTTGTGGGGAGGGGAAGGGAAAGGAGTTTGTAAGCCGCTCTGAGACTCCCTTGGGTAGTGAAGGGCGGGGTATAAATCCAATCTCTTCTCTTCTTCTTCTTCTATCTCACACTGTGGCCAACAATGGGGTGTAGAGACTGAGACCTTTCCCTGACACTGGTATTCAGAGGTTTACTGCCTTTGGGGAGTAGCTGCAGATAGACCTATCCTCCATGAATCTGTCTTATTGCCTTCTAAAGCTCTCTATGCCTGTGGCCATCACTACGTCTTCTAGAAATGAATTGTACATTTTAATCATTCATTGTGAAAAGAAGTATTTATTTTTGTTTGTCCTGAATATACTGCCCATCGACTTCACTGGATGCCCCTGAGTTCTAGTATTTGGGGAGTGGGAGAAAAAGTTAGTTTTGTCTATACCATGCATAATTTTACAAAGTCAGTAACTGTATAATGTGGATTCTCAGTGTAGGCTGTGGACTACACAGCATAATTAGACTGTCCTCATACCCTATTTTCTTCTGGGAAATTTGTCAGATAGGGAGATGGGACAGGGACAACAATTTAGGAACCAACTGTAAACAAGGCCAAACTCATTAAATTATGAAATGTACACAATCCAAGCTTCTGTGTTACTTTTTCACTTGGGGTTAGAAAAATAAGAGATAGCTTGCATTTAAGGTTATAACATTAACTGATAGATTAATTTTTGTAAAGTTTTAGCTAATTAAATTATGAGATCCAATTTTAATTAGCAGGACAAGAAGAGTGCATGTAAGCATACTAATGTCCAGGTGCATTCTGTAGTATGAGTTTTAGTCACTCCTTCAAACAGTTACTAGTAGCTTTTGTTAACTGTAAACCATCTCTTGCTTCCTCCAGTATCTCAAGGGACTATATGATGACTTGATACTATGCAAATCTATTCAAATTTACTTGATTGATAAATTGGTTAAAACCAAAGACAGATGATTAATCAGCTAAACACACACACACACATATCTCTTTGGCTGTCTGGCAGCCCTACGTCCAATGCTGCCTTCAGGGGCTTAGCTGCAGCCAAGCAAGTCAGCTGGTAACTTACACAGCGGTGATGGTAGCCACAGTTTTTAGGCTTGCTGGGTTTCGGATCATTTTATCTAGGGTGTTGACTATTTCAGCAAAACGTGGCCGGGTGTTGCGGTCTTTCTGCCAGCAGTCTAACATTAGCTGATGGAGGGCAGCTGGGCAGTCCATAGGAGGAGGGAGCCGATAGTCTTGCTCAATTGCATTAATTACCTACAGAAAGAAATGTATGTTGCATGTTAGAAAAATACAGGTGCACAGAAAAACAATTCAGCAGGTTTATGGAAGTGTTCTTTTTTCTTTTTTGTATTTTTGCATGTGCATGTATGTGTGAGTGTGCTCGCGCCTGTGCCTGGAAGTCATGGAGACCTCTGGCAACTCCTACAGGCACACAGAAGATATTCAGAGAAGCGGCTTGATAGCCTGCCTCCAGCCTCCCAGCCCTGGTATTCTCTGGAAGCCACGGTCAGCCCTACTTAGCTTCTAAGATCTGATGAGTTCAGGCTTGCCTGGCCTATCCAGGTCAGGGCTAAAGTGTATAAGACCTATGTATTCACCATTGATGGTAAGCATCTGTTCCTGGGTGTCGTGGGCCAGTCTGCTTTAACTGAAGAGCACTCAGCTGATGCTAATAACAGCCCCATCAGCACCTCTGAGACTCAGCCAGCTGATGCTCCTAACGACCCTGAGATGGCGGAGGCAGGTCCTAGTGCCCCAGTTGCTGAAGACAGCAGGCACTCCAGCCCCATGAGCACTGGGAACTCGGAAAAGACAACCCAGAGAGGTGGGACCTCAACAATGCAAAATCTTGGGGAAACTTCACAGGCTGCCTCGCCTCCTCCTTCCCCAGAGCCAGGGGAATGCAGGAGGAGGTGGGCACGCTTGGAGCTCCTTGAGAGTAGACGGAGCATGTGCCTTGCTGCCCGGTGACTGCCAGATCAAGAAGAACACCTGGAGTTAATGGACAGCACTCTTGCAAGCAAAGATACCCAGCTGTGAGCTGCCGATAAAGGTCAGGGTTTCAGAGGGGGAAGGCATGGGAGCAACTCGTCACCTTCCTGGAGATGTGCAACCACCCCTCTTGGATCTGTTTTTGGCAGCTACTCCTGAACCTTTGGCTTTGACCCTGGACTTGCTTGACAATGCCTCTTGGACCTGATTGAACTCTGTTTCCTGGACCCTCGGCAGGCTTCCCTTGTATATGACTCTTGGACTGAACTCTTGACTTATGTGTCTGGTTAGTGATTCTGTCTCATCCCCTTGGTCTTGGCTGAGTCTGCTCTGACCCAGGACACTGTGCTCAGTATTGTTATGCCTGGCCATACTTAGCTTCTACTAAAGAAAATAGTTTTGAGCAAAAGTGTATGTGTCTGCACTCATTTATCACGTAAACATTCTAACATTTTTAGACTGGAACAAATATGGCATTCTTTATCAACTGACTATTATCTGGCTTATGCAGCGTGTACCAAGAGTTTGATTTCACAACTTAACTACAGATATGAGGAAGTATTTCTTTTAACTTACTGCATATGATAAAGCTTACTTCTTAGAAACATTTTCCCTAACTTGTTTTACGTTCTATAGGCAAAAGGTACCCCTGTTACTCTCTACTTACATTTTTTTTCAAAGTTTTCATATGATTCTCTATTTTTAGATTATACAGATTTTACACTGTTGAATCATTTGGATGTGGGGAACTCAGCACTGAATTCACTCAATGGATCTTTTCAGCTCCTCTGCCGGTTTGCACACCTACCCTCCTTACTTTCAGAAGGGGATCCCTTTTTCTGAAGTTCTGCGCACTAATGCCTTAGATGCAGGAATAAAGGAAGCCATCTATCATGTGCACGAGAAGCAAAGGAAATGTTCTTGGCTCTGAAGGAAGCAGGGCACTCAGAGGTTAATTAGAGTGCAGATGCTTCAAGACAAAGGTAGTCCCTTCTCTGTTAGGCAGCCACCACTCTCATTATCTCTGCCTGTCATGCCGGAGTGCAGGACTTACTCAAGTCACTGCACCTGGCTCATAATCCTTCTGAACATTTTCAAAGGGCCTGCAAGATTCCTAGTGCCCAATTACCAGCACACTGGCTTCTCTTCCCATTTCCTCCCCTCCTTTCATGCTGGAAACTCTTTCCTACTGCAGAGGTTTGAAATAAAAAAAGGCAACTCTACATCTCACATCTAGCATTTCCAAGCTTTTCTCTAGAGCTCCTGGGGGGAGGAGAAGTTGGAATCCACAAACTGCAGCACTTCTGTCTTGCACAGGTGAGAGTGGCTCAGGTAATTCTTTCTGGCCTCTCCCATCATCTCAGCTCTGAGGTTATGGATAAGAAAGAAAGCCTAACCTCCACTATCCTTTCTCCAATAGCCTTAGGGATTCCCTGTCCAGATTCCTGCCTCACCAAGACAATGGGCAAAACCCATTGTTACCTTTTTTTGCATGGCTCAGCAATTAATTCCTCTGGAGAGTTGTTTGGTGAATACTCATTTATTAAAATAGTTATACTCCACTTTCAAATAATTGAATCCACAAGGCAGCTAACAAAAATCTAAAAACACAATACATATTTATGCTAATTTTTAAAGCAAATATGTGTGGAAGGAAAAATATCATGCTGTCTGTACTTCACTTATCCAGTGTACAGTTGTGTTGCTTACACTGCTAGTAAACACTTGTATAAATCAATGGTGTGACCTCATTTGGAATACTGTGTGCAATTCTGGTCACCAGACCTCAGAAAGGATATTATAGCATTGGGGAAAGTGCAGAAAAGGGCAACCAGAATAATAAAAGGGTTGGAACACTTTCCCTATTAAGAAATGTTAAAGTGCTTGGGGCTTTTTAGCTTGGAGAAACAATGACTGAGGGCTGATATGATACAGCTTTACAAGATTATGCATGGGACAGAGCAGGTAGAGAAAGAAGTACTTTTCTCCCTTTCTCACAAATTGAAGAACTCGTAGGCACTCAATGAAATTGCTGAGCAGTTGGGTTAGAATGGATAAAAAGGAAGTACTTCTTCACCCAAAAAGTGATTAACACATGGATTTCCACTGCCACAGGAGGTGGCGGCGGCTACAACCATGGACAGCTTCAAGAGGGAATTGGATAAACATATGGAGCAGAGGTCCATCAGTGGCAATTAGACACAAAGTATAAGTAGGAACTCTCAGTCTAGAGCAAGTGATGCTCTGTATTCTTGGTGCTTGGGGGGGGGCAACAGTGGGAGGGCGTCTAGTGTCCTGGCCTCACTGGTGGACCTCCTGATGGCACCTGGTATTTTTGGCTACTCTGTGACAGAGTGTTGGACTGGGTGGGCCATTGGCCTGATCCAACATTGGCTCCTCTTATGTTCTTATGTCTTCTTTATTCCAAGCCCCAGTTTACAGTCTAGTATGAAAGT